TCCTGCCCCTGCCCTGGCCCCCTGGCTCTGCCCGTCCCCAGCCCCACTGACACTCCTGCCCCTGCCCTGTTCTAGGTGCCACCCCAGCCGCCAACATGTCCAGCAAACGTGCCAAAGCCAAGACCACCAAGAAGCGCCCCCAGCGCGCCACCTCCAACGTCTTCGCCATGTTCGACCAGTCCCAGATCCAGGAGTTCAAGGAGGCCTTCAACATGATCGACCAGAACAGGGATGGCTTCATCGACAAGGAGGACCTGCACGACATGCTGGCCTCCCTGGGTGAGGAGACCCCCGTGTGCCCCACACGCCCCACAGCCCCTTTGCCCTCAGCGCCTCTGGCACGTGGGCAGAGCTGGTGGGTGACCCGGTGTGTCACACCCAGAGCGAGGACTGGCTTTGGTGGGATGCCCTCGAGGCACAGCCCTCCTGCTGTGGGCCAGCCCATGCTGGGGGCACTCCTGCTGGCAGCAGCTGGCTGTGGAAGGTGTATTTGTGGGGGCACCCGAGGGCAGCAGCTTGGTGTGTCGCTTACAGCTGTGCCCACTAGAAGGGAAGAGACCCTTGGGGCTGGAGGAGCCTTGTCCTAGGAGAAACCACAGGCTGCACCCACTGAGTATTTGAGTAGTCTCACCCCAGAACACTGCCTGGGGCCGTTCCCTGCAGGACAAAGCCCTCCTCCTTCAGCCTGGGTGACAGAAGAGGTTGGTCCTGTGCTGGCATGACACCTCTGCCAGTTGAGACTTGCAGGTCTGTCCATGCTCCCACCCAGAACCCGTTCTCCTTTGCTGCAGGCCATGGCTCCCCCCCCACTCCCCCTGGTACCCCCACAGCGCTTTGGGAGGTCTGTCAATGATTGACCCGGTGGCCAAACCTGTTCTGGAGGTCCTGCCTGGCTGTGGAGGGACCTCCCTCCCCCCAGTGAGCCGCAGCTCTGGGAGCAGAGAGGGGTCAGGCACTGGGGGCACCTCAGCAGAAGAGGTTAACCCGTCCCTGGCAGGAGCAGTGCTGGGCACAGCAGCAGCAGGCGGCTCGTGTGGGGACACTGCTGCCCCTCTCCTCGGGTGGTGCCGGGTGTCAGCTGCCCGGGAGTGGGGCAAAGCAGGGGGGTTAGTTCCCAGGAACCCCCACATGGATTCCCACGTCTCCCTCGAGGCTGAGCCTGGAAGAGCTTGGTTCAGGGTGGCTTCTGCAGGGCTCAGAGCGTGGGGAGAGATGCTGAGGGGAGACCCTTCCCCTGTTCGGGGGGTGGGTGAACATGAGCCCGCAGATTCGTTTGCCACCAGAAAGCCCCCCCGGCGGGGTGCGTGGGCTGGTGCCGGGTGTCGGGGGGTCAGGGCCCCCCACCCACAGCCCTGCTCTGCCCAACAGGCAAGAACCCCACCGACGAGTACCTGGAGGGCATGATGAGCGAGGCGCCGGGGCCCATCAACTTCACCATGTTCCTCACC